ATACTCCATAACCTCTCGCCAACAATGAGAAGCACAGGCATACATCACAACTTGAAACTGTAACAGTAATGTACGACTTTGTAGAACACAACCATATTTTATTAAAAAAGTGACTCAATGTGTATCACTCTTTCAAAATTACTTTCCATGGAACAGATTCAACAACAACAAAATTACATTTATAGAGCGCCTTTCACGTAGGGAGGACATCCCAAAGTGCTGAACAGTCAGGTGTTGGGGCCCAAGCTGGGGGAGGGGTGGTGTAGGGGTGAGGGAAGGCAGAGCGGTGGGAGGGTGACCAAAGGCACGGTTGAAGAGAAGGGTCTTGAGGAGGCAAGGGAGGAAGCGATGCGAAGGGACCGTGGGATGGAGTTCCAGAGTGTGGGGGAAGAGAGGCTGAAAGCCCAGCCACCAATGTTAGGGCGGGTCGGGCGGGAGACATGGAGCAGGCCGGAGCCCAATGAACGGAGGGAGCGGGCAGGTTGGTAGGGAGTCAGCAGGTCAGAGAGATAGGAGGGGGCAAGGCCATGGATGGCCTTGAAGGTGAGGATGAGGATCTTGAACTGGATCCTCTGGGGGATGGGGAGCCAGTGGAGTCAGGCGAGATGGGAGTGATGGGAGATGGGAGTGAAGGGGTCACGGAGCCTGGTGCGTGAGAGTACACGAGCTGCAGAGTTTGGATGATCTGCAACTTGTGAAACGAAGAGTTGGGAAGGCCGATGAGGAGGGAGTTCCCGTAATCGAATCTTGATGTGATGAATGTGTGGGTGAGGGTTTCGGCAGCCTGAGGGGTGAGGCACTGGCAGAGTCTGGCAACTTGTGGAGGTGGTGGTAGGCAGTGCCGGATGTGGGGGAGAAAGGACAGTTCAGGGTCAAACAAGATACCCAGTTTCCTGACTGGCTTAGTGAGGTTGAGCGTGCAGCCGTGGAGGCATTCAGTCATTTAACCAGCCTAAAACTTAGACTTACTTTTCCAAGTGATCATTTTCTTTTATCATTATTTTCTTTCTCAAATATTGTTAGAATTAACCTTAATTATCTTTCTCCTTATTAACCAAATTTTTTATTTAATCCAAATTGCAAACATTAGAACATGGGGAGTTAATTCCCAGCCCACTCTCCTGCATGCCCATAACATATTTTATGAGTGACTTCCAAACAATGTTCTGGAACCCTAATGCTTCAAAATCATTGGGGGTGGGGGCATGTTATTGGTATATAATTGCAAACAATTTGGATTTCTTTGTTGTTAGCATGTGCTCATACCCATCAAATCACACTCAGTTCCTCAACAGTTTCTTGCATTGAAAAAATGTAGCCTCTATCCATGAGTCTCATTGTAACAAAAAAATCTTTTATTCATTTTTGTGGGTTTGCAATAATTCAGTTTTTGTTTTGAGTCGTTTTCCAGTGGTCTGATTTTACAACACTATCTACATCTCTTAACATTATACTTTATAATTATTTTACATTCAGCTTTCTGTGATCAGTCAAATTCCCCCTTCCCCATATATTATTCAAGTATATTTTTATATTAAGATCCAAATTTATTTTACGTAGTCTTTATTCCCTAATGTTTGTGGTGCATCCTCTCCATAAAAAAGAAGACAATCTATTTTTGTTCCAGAGGAATTAGAATTTCTCATAGGATCTTTCCTGGTCCATAGATTGTCTATATTTGTGGTCTATTATGACTGAGCACCAAAGCACAGTGGATTCATTCACTTAGGTGTTTTCTCTACAGTTAGGTAACTCAGAATGGAAAATAATAAAAGGAACCTTTGGAGAGACTTCAGGTGGTCGCTCCAAAGTACCACTTTCCCCAGAATTGAATGGAACTATGAGCTGAAGTGGCTAAGAATTTCACATAAATAGGCGATCTGAAATATTGATTGCCTAATTGTAGTAATAGAATTTTTGGAATTAGGGGAAGAATCTGACACTAAATCTGCCCAGTTAGTCATTGCAAAATGACAAGTTCAGATTCCCAGAAGTCAGGCTGAAACTTGAGAGTAGTTTGGTGCATCTGGAGTATTGTATACAGTTTTGGTTGCTCCAGCATGAGGGAGTGACTCAGGTCCCCAGAGTTAAGAGGTCTGAGCTGTGAGGAACAAGATAAGATATGGCTCTTCAGCCAAGAGGAGATGTCACAGTAAGAACTACATTGATATATAATACCCATTAGAGAAAGTAAACTTGGAACAATGCTTTCAGAAGCACCAAGGCTGCAGAACTAGAGGGCACAGATTCAGGATTGTGAAGGGCAATTTTAGAACAGGCTCTAAGAACTTTTTTTNCACATTTTTTTTAGACAGCCTGATGTCTGATAGACATGGAAACCCATTGCCATGCAATGCAAACCAAACAGAGTCCACTCATCCCACTTGTACATGCAAATAAAGTTTTTTTTATAGTGCATAATTAACTGTTCCATAGGAACAGGAGGAGGCCGTTCAGCCCTTTGAGCCTCTTCCGCCATTTAATTAGATCATGGCTGATCTGTACCTCAACTAATCCTTTCAATTCCAATTTCCCGCTTTCTCCCCATATCCCTTAATACCCTGACCTACCAAAAATGTATCAATCTCACTCTTGAAGGTATGGATGGATCCAGCATCCACGGCCTTTTGGGGAGAGAATTCCAGATTTCTGCCACCCTTTGAGTGAAAAAATGCTTCCTGATTTCATTCTTAAATGGCCTGGTTCTAATTTTAAGACTATAACCCCTTGTTTTGGATTCCCCCAACAGAAGAAATAACGTCCCTGTATCTACCCTATCAAATCCCTTTATCATCTTAAATACCTCAATCAAATAACTCCTCAACCTTCTGAACTCAAGGGAATACAATCCAAGTTCACGCAGCCTTTCTTCTTAATTTAATCCTTTTAGGCCTGGTAACATTCTGGTGAACCTGTGCAACACCCCCTCCAGGGCCAATATATCTTTCCTGAGGTGTGGTGCCCAAAACTGAATGCAGTACTTCAAATGGGGTCTGACTAATGCTCTACGCAGCTGAAGCATCATTTCTTTCCCCTTGTATTCCAGACTCCTGGAGATAAAGGCCAACATTTCATTCGCTTTTTTTGATTACTTTAACCAAGGAGGGTAGTTGAAGCCAGGATGCTGTACTTAACAAAAGCTTAATGTAATAAGAAACCAATCAGATTGGCATGATTGAAAAAAAATAATCCATGCATTTCTTATAGTGTCAATCATGTCAGCGAGACACCTCAAAGATAGTATATGCTTTAAAGTGGATTGACTGTGTATTTTGTGGGTAAAATGTAGCAGTGAAATGCGCACGACAATGTCACACAAACAATCATGGATCGAATGATCACAAAATGTGATGTTTGGAAAAATCTTCATCCAAACTGATTCATACAACCAGAAAGGGACCAGCGTTTCTGGCGGACCACCACAGGTCCGCAAATAACCTCATGGGAATTCCGCACTGGAGACAGAATGACCCGATAGGACTGTTTTGTCAGTCAAGCACTCAGATGCTGCTCTGAAGGGCGTTATATATCAATATTGTGGTTGTTCATTTGACTGATAGGGTGCGGTCATACTTAAAGAAACCCAGGTCGATGGAACATTGTTTATACACATATATACACACACAGCGCACACTCACAGCCTCCCCCCAGACAAATAGCCCTTCCCCTTTAATGCCCTTTAAGAGAAAATGCAGGCGCCAAAGTTGCTCGGTCGGTAGGGGGCGCTGGCCCTTTGCAGTGACATCATCATCCGGGGTGTGCGGCCGCGCACTGAACTGTCGGGAGACTTGAAGCGGTGGCGCCGTGAAACGGACAGAAAATAAAGACAATTTAATAAGAGAGAGAGAGAGAGAGGGGAGGAAAGGAGAGGGAGTGGGGGGGAGGGAGGGAGGGAGAGAGGAAGGAAGGAAATAAGGAAAAAAAAACTTGGGGTGGGAGAGATTTTTTTTAAAAAAAACTCAGCCGCCCCCACAAGTTATGTAGAAGCACTGGCGCTCTCTTTTTTTTTAAAAATATATATATATATTTTTTAAAATAATTGTGAAGAGAGAGAGAGAGAGAGAGCGCCTGTTTTAAAAAAAAACACCATGACGGTTCTTGCTCCCGGAGTGAATTCATTCCGGTTGAAAAAGGTACCGAGGCGGCCTTAACCCTCTCCCATCTCCCTCCCTCCCTCCCTCCCACTCACTCACTCACTCACTCACTCACTCAACCCCTCACACCAAACCCAACGCCGAGAGGGAAAGATAACCGACTGCACGGCGGCCTGTGATTCCCTCCTCCACAATCCTCCCCCTCCTCCTCCAGCTCCAGCCGCCGCCGCCGCCGCACTCTTCTGCCCTTATTTTCCTTCTTCCTCTTTGCGCGAATCGGTGTCGTCGTCGCCGGGGCCCCATTGCGTCTGCTCCGTTCGTGCGGTGTTTTTTTTCTCTCTCTCTCTCTCATTTTTTTTTGATAACGCGCACGGCCGCCATATTGTTGTGTGGCTCCCGTCCTGTCGAGATCGGGGGAGAGGAGGGGGAGGGGGGGGGGTGGCTGACTTGACTGGCGGGGCTGACTGGCTGGTGTTTGACCCAGTTGAAGAGAAGAAGAAGAAGCAGAAGAAACCGAGAGAGAGGAGAGAGAGAGAGAGAGAGAGAGGAGAGAAAATAATAAGAGAGAAAAGGGGAGCATAACCGGGGGGGAGAGAAGTGAGAGAGAGAGAGGTAATAGAGAGAGGGGCAAACGGGTTTTTATTTCTTTCCCTTCCCTCCTCCCTTCCCCCCCCCCTCCTCCCCCCCAAAAAAAGCCCCAAACAAAAAAAAAAGCCCCTCAAAACCTCCCCTTTTCCCCCGTCCTCATCCCTAAGCGCGCACAGGAGAGAGGAGGAAAGAAGTGGTGGTGGTGCGGGGGGGGGGAGAGAAGCAAAGAAAGAAGAAACGGAAGGAAGGAGGGAGGAGAGAGAGAAAAAAAAAGTCAGCTCCCACCCCCCCCCCACCATCACCACCACCTCGCTCTGTCTCGCCCTCCCTACGCAGCCAGGCTTTCAGTCCTGGAAAAGGAGACCTAATTCCTGGTAAGGCTCAGCGCTCTCGGATTCTTTTATTCACTTTTCAAAATACAAACATATATTTTAGCGGCGGGGGTGGGTGGCAGAACAGAGGAAGGGGTGGCGTTTGGAGAGATTAAATGTCCCGTCTGCTTAAGTTTGAAAAGGCTGCAGAGGGTTGGGAGGGAGGGAGGGAGAGGGAGGGAGAGGAAAGCGTTGTGAATAATGATGGGGCTGTTTACATGTCTGAGGGGGTTTGACGCCGACGGTGAAGCCGGCTGCTGCCTGCGTGAGGAGGAAAATGGCTGACGGCCTCCCCTTATCTCTCTGAGGAGAAGCGCCCGTTTTTTGTGTGTGTGTGTGTGTGTGTGTGCACAAACCCAGCGTTGGTTTGGTGTGTCATCGGGATCAAAGGCTGGGCTTTTGTCCCTTTCAAAATCAATCTTTTTCTTTGCGAACGAGGCGGAAACGATCCCCCTCCCCCGTTCCTCGCTTGGACTGTTGAACGCCATTTCTGAGGTGGAGTGATTTTTTTTCGTTTGGGGGAAATGTAGGCCTGGACTACGCCTGAAAAATAGGCCTCGTCTAGAATTATCTTTCAAAATAGTGTCTTATTTTGTAACGGATGGCGTTAACAATTAGATTGTGTCTACTTTAAATGCTAAATATCTAATGAAACGTATTGGGTTAGAATTTTAGTCCATGTCATAATAGATAAATGTAAAGTCATTTACTGTTGCATCAAACATTTTAATGTTGTATAGTAGTGGAATTGATGTAGTTTATGTAGGTTCTTATTGTGACCAATGTAATATGTATCTGTCGTGTGTCGTTAGGTTCATGGATCTATTTTAACTGAAAAATGGGTGGGTTACTAACCAATGATGGTGAACTACTTACAACACAATTGTACTTTTATCGATTGTTGTGGTATATCTGTAATTGCTTAGGTGACTGCCAAATACTGGATTATATTTCAGAACAGAATATATATTTTTAAAAAGCTAATAGAATTTAAATACAAAGGCCTCTCTTTATTTTTTTATATTGCAGCAGTCGTATTGCTGCCAGCAACAAAGGGTCATCTGACTTGTGCTGTCAGTCTGGAATAACCTCAGGTTACACACAAATTAGATTTACATTTGTTGAAATTTATGATCCTTTTTTTTAAAGTTATTTCAACAACTGTGCAGCAAGCATTCCAGGAGTACCAATGATTGTGTTTCGTTAAAATGTCACATAAAGCTAAACTTCCCAGTAACAATGTTCCTTTAATTTTGTATCAATCTATGAAACAAGATGGCTACCTCTTTTCAGAAATGTTGATATTTTAACTAGAGAAAACTTATTTTTACATAAATACTCAAAGTAAGCTCCAGTAGAAGTTTGAGCATCTTTTTGTAGTTGTAAATGAATGTAATAACATTTATTTTGCAGAAGATGGAAAATTATTTTGTTGCTTTGCTCAACTCCCAGGTAACAAAACAAAGATTGCTCTTTTCATAGTTTGCACTGTATTCATTTGCCTTTTGAAAGGAAAATCACCACAAAAACATTTTTGGGGTAGCTAACCTATCACCATACTTAAGTGCATCCAAACCAAACAGAGTTCAATGTATCCCATCTACACATGAAAATTCAAAAAATATTTATTGGAATAGAATGTACACTCTTTGGAGGGAAGCATCCTGCTTACCTATTTCTGGAAAGTATTAGGCGCAGGTTGGCAAGAGTCAAGGCTTGGGGACCTAGAGTGTGGGATACTGCTGGAGTCTAACCAGCTAAAATTGCATAACGTGCCATTGAGAGTACTACCTGGAAAGCTTTCCCGATGCTTGTCCAGCTCGGATCACCCTACCTGTTAGTTCTTTGGCTTGCAGGGTTAGTGGGAGCTGGGTGCGAAGAATCCCTTTCCCCAATGACTGGTCTTCCCTTCCATGTCCTGCCGATGAGCCAGCCTGGCTGTGCTGTCATCAGCAGTGCGCTGGAATACTGTGGACCCACCTGGCTCAGGAACTGGACTACCAAGACCCCCAGAGGGCTGGCTCGATTCTGACATTTCATTGCCAAGCATGCCACCTTACAGCCAGTTCAGCTCCAAGGAGATCCAATTAGCTTCCCTACCCCCTGGAGGATTGTCACTTGTTGGTCATTTGACATCCAAAGTGAGACCTCACAAGATGAATGATTGATGCAAGGAACCTACCTGCAAGCTTCATGGTGGGCAGCTCAGCATGAAACGGTGAGAGCATTGCCACCATCATCCTGTCATGATATTCCACTATTTTGTCAAGTAAGATGATGCTTTTTACTTAAATTGGGATACACAATATCAAAACAAGTCTTATTTAGAACATTCTAGACGCTGTGGGGCAACATATGGTTATTTTAAAATATATTTGAATTCTTCAATTAATACAGGAGGCATTTGCTACCAAACATCCTCCATAATCAAGATGATCTGTGCTGTGAGCTTCGTCATAACGTCAATGCTCGTTTTAACAAGTTGATGGGTGGGTGACAGTTTTGTAAGTTTTCACCACCTGAGGTGGAATGCTACACTGTCAAATGTTGCTGTTTGCCAGGCAGAAAACTTGACAACATGTGTTTCATACAACAACTGTTTATGTGTTCTGGGATTGAAATCCACAATATTCTATGAGGAGTAGCTGTTTAGTGTAAATTACTGGATTGCCAATATTGCCAAATGTGGTTGAATATCATTAAATAAATATCTAGTTAATGAATTTATGCATGGAATAGGATATATTTTGTAATTTAAACAAATTAATCTGGAATTTGTCACTTAGTTACTCGAGGTACAACTGTTGAACATTTCAAAGCAATTTAGAAGTTTCCTGAAAGAAAACATGATTGTTTTGGATGCACTGAGCAATTATAACATGAATAAGTAGGGAATTTGTACCAGAAACAGATTGTATATTAATCCTGGAATTATCAATTTTATGCTCTGGTACATTGATTGTGTTTGTACTTCTCATTTTAAAACAAAGCAGGATTTGTACCTAGAACTTAGTCCATCCTTCATATTTAGCATTAAATAAAAACAAGCTCATTAATTTAGAAACAAATTATGAACTGTTAAAGTTAAAAGGGTTTATTGTTTAGATTCTTCATCATTGTAATTTTAAAAGGAGCTTGATGCAATGGCCTACAATACTGTACACTTAAATTTCTTGGATCTGACCTTATATCCACTACCCTGGACTGATTCTCCCATGTGAGATTTAGTTTTTGCAAACTCAGTCAGGATTGGGTAGGTGTGGTTTCAGTCTGCGAAGCATAATTGACAATTTTATGCACAGATTGAGGATGGGCTGATGGGAATCTGAGCAAAGTCAGACTGAGGTGGGTGTTTATCTTATGTTGGTTAGTGGCTGAAAGCTGTGCCTCTAGAAATCTCTCTCAATCCCTCCGCATTGCCCACTCCCTCCTCACTTTCAAATCCTGCCTAAATACCTTCCTTTTTGATCATGTTTACAGTCACCTTCCCCCATCCCTCTCCCCCGGCTCGGGGTCAGACTCCTCCACTGTCAAGTGCTCCAGGACGGCACCCCGGGTGAAGGGCACTATATAAATGCAAGTTGGTGTTATGTTGCAGTTCAGGCATATTGTACAGCAAGTTAAGAAGGAGCTTTACTTTGGGCCTGGCGTGTGTTATAATGATCTATCCTGCGGCTCTGACCTCCTCAACCTCCCCAGCCTATCCCTCAGATTTAGGCATCAGGTTCCACCTACAGCTGTTCTTCCTTTCCCACATCCGGTCCCTGAGCAGGACCGCCTTCCTCCACCACATTACCTGCCTCCGACCATACCTTACCCCAGACTCAGCCGAAACACTCGTCCGTGCATCTGTCACCTCCTGGCTCGACTTTGCAAATGCCGTCTTTGCCGGTCTACCCAGCTCCACCATGCACAGAATCCTAGCTGATCCCAAACTCCGCCGTCCGCATACTCACCCGTACTAAACTCCGTACCCTCATCACACCAGTTCTAGCCAGGTAGCCCTGGCTCCCTATCGCCAAACAGATCATTTTAAAATTCCTTTGTGCCCTGGCATCTCCCTACCTCACCGACCTGCTTAACCCCTAATGGACAACCCGCTGCCTCCGCTCGACTGGCTCCGACCTTCTGCATGTCCTTCCTGTCCTCCGTTCCACCATTGGTGGACGTGCTTTCAGCCATTACAACCCAAAACTCTGCAACTCTCTTCCACTATCCTTCCCCATCTTCAGATCATGCTTGAAGACCTCCCTATTTGATCATGCCAACGGTCACCCCTGCATCCCCTGGCTCGGCGTTGTGCTCCGCCACTGTCAAGTGCTCTGGGGTGCTACCCTGCGTGAGAGGCGTCATATAAATGCCAATTGTTCATCCAGTCATATTTGAATCTGACTGGGCACATAAGTGAAAATGGTGTTCTTTTCTCAGGATTGACATTGCCTTTTATACAAAAAAAACCTTTCTCTAACCTTTGTCTGTTGTATTAAGACTTTATTTGTTTTTATGTTTGTTTGTTTAGAGAAAAATGGCATTGCTTGTGTAGCGTTTATGAAAGTACATTTTAGTGTCCTGGAATATATTTGTTTCAGACTTTGAGTGACAAAGGATGAAACTCAAGCCAATTACCTTTTTAAAATATACTTTTTAGAACAGGCATGAGGTCGAAGCACAATAATAATATTCTATAAATTCGATATAGCATCTTTCATATTGGGAAGATGTTTCAAAGTGCTTCGCAGGATATACTATAAAGTTCGACTAAGTTGCAGGTGAACGCAGCATAGCAGCAAGATAAAATTGATTCACAGCAAAATAACCTGCATGTGCAGGAGGCAGTGATATTGATCACATTTCTAACTGCGTGCTTAGTCGTTCAGTGGATCAGTTGCACTAAAGTAGCTCCTTTTTGCTAATCGTACTTGTATAAGTATAGTTAGGCTGGTGTTTAAAGCCTATGTTGTGCCATTGCAAGAATTATTTGGTATTCCTCAGTGGTGGTCATG